GTCCTATATAGTCTAATAATATTTTAAGACATTTTTATTTTTTGATATTAAAAACATTAGGCTACACTAAGCTAATGAAATCTTCCCATAAACTTAGCCTACTCGGCTTTTAATTTTTGCTTCTATTTTGACTGCCCTACCCGTCAATGAGGTTAAGGGTATAAGTTAGGCCTAACCTATACAAAATCCTGCCTTAATCTGAATGGGAAAACATTATTATTTGCAGATGATACAACGATGCTGTCCAGAACCTTTAGGATTATTACAGTTGTTCGGCATTTTGATCATTGCCGGCCAATCTTAAAGGATCTTAAACTACGTTTCCATTCCTACAAATTTGTGCCGGCACAAATCTCCGAATTTGTAGGAATGGAAACATCCTGGCTCAAGTCGCGGCACAAATTTGTGCCCGCCAACTGCGCGACAAAACATGTGCCCGTGCCGCGGGCACATGTGCCCAGTTGGAATGGAAACGGCCGGGCACATGTGCCCAGTTGGAATGGAAATAGCCGGGCACATGTGCCTGCAACTCGCGCATTCACAGGTCCTCCAAACTACCGCATGCTCATAAATGACAGGTAATCATAACCTCAAATTTCGTTGAGTCCGTTGGAGGAAATTTTCAAAGCCACTTTGTACGTGCAAATCTCTCATCAATTGATTAAATGCACCTTAAAAAACTTCTTATCCACTATCTAGGTAGTTTCCTTCTTTTTCTTCTAAGTTCATTGTATGCACCAGCCATAAATAAAAAAGCAGAGGCTGTTATGTCATCCATGGTGATTTGTAGACCACAATATAATCAAAATCAGCCACCGAACCTCACCACATCACAATAAAAGAGAACACTACATTTGTCTGCCAGTTGTAGTCGCGGGACTTGTGCCTGGAATGGAAACTGGAAACGGCATGACAAACTACGTGCGCTGCGACTTGTAGGAATGGAAATGTAGCTTAAGGGTACTCACGGCGTAGTGCTTGATATCCTGACCCTAGAAAAGATGAGGTGCAGGCAGTGGTGGATCTAGAACAGTCACAAGGGGGGGACCAGGGTGTCTGAGAGGTTCGGGGGTACCCCCTCCCACCAAAAAATTTTTTTAAACTAAGTCTCCAAAAATGGCAGTTTTATACCATTTCTTTGTCCTAAGTTAGTGTGACAAATTATTTTACGCAATTTGTATGCACTACTGTATTACATGCAGTCAAAAATATATGACATATATTTCCAAACTGCGACTGCCCCTCTCTGGATCCGCCACTGGGTGCATAGGAGTACTATACCAGAAGAGCACAAAATATAGACTTTTCCTGCTGTCGTCTCAAACGTACCTAGAATAGCTATCCTCGTTCTACTATTAACTAACTGTACTATTAATTAACTGTCGTATTAACTGTCGTACTATTAATTAACTTATTAGGTAACTCATAACTGCCTATTCATTTGCAGGAGATAGATGCACCCTCCTTCAGAAGGCGCTGAAAGGAATGCTAATTATAGGCCGCTGTACTCCTGAACTGTTTCCTTCGTAAAAAAACTTAAGGAAGAGCACCTAGTGAGATAAGTGTATGTCTGCCATATCATCCGTTAAACAGCCAGGTTTTTGAAGGTATAGTTTATTGTAAATATTATTTAAAGAGTTAATTATTAAATCACTTAATAATTTGCTAGCTGCTGTGCCCGTGCTTCGCAACGGGAAGATGAACTACTGTATACCGCCTAATCCAAACAGTTGTTAAGTAGTCCGAATTTATGAACAAAAGCCACCAAATGTACTGTATAAAAACAATTATGACCAACATTGTAATTGCCCTACTGTTTACGTTAAAATATATCAATAACATAATATTAATTTTCATATTTGAGTTGTTTTGTCTCTAGATCACTGAACCAACTATAAAAGGTATAAAATTACCTCAGTACTGCCAGAGTCATCCTGTATAGTCCTGATGGATTACGGGTTTTAAGGACTTAAGTCCTCATCATGAGATCTTGTACAAGAACATTTAACACTGTAACTTTGAAAGGGTCATCAAGAGTTTAAATGCGAAACACGGACATATACTATTTACACTTCATAGACGTTTTATGAAAAAAACGAGTAGGCTTACTGACAAAAACTTACAATGTCCAACCACGTGCGCACAGTTGCAGATGAGGGTCATAACTATGCGATGCGGAAGATGGTTGGGCGGTGTACTTTTTACAGCTCGGCTCCTTGTTCATAAGCTGTTCTTGTTTTTTTTTTTATTAGAGTATCATACAGAGCGTTAGACTGTAAACTGAGTTTGTCGTTTAATAATGTGTTAGCTTGAATTTTGATTGTTTTATAAATTTCAAATTCCTCTAAAGCATCCATTTGTATATTGCTTTTACAATCAAAATAAACCCCATGGTCAGGCTCCCGCTCCTGACCCATGGTTGGTCTTCTTGTCTCTAGTGGTAGCTCTTGATTAAGTCCTGGGTGGGTGACCTCCCGTTGAATTCTAGTTAAATTGTTTGAAACTTTTTTTAATTTCTAGTAAAAAAAATTTAAAATTTCACAATTTCTGGTAAAAATTTTTTGAAAATTTCGAAAAGTCTATATATAGAAGTGGCATCCGGGTGATATTTCATTCTCGAGCGCAATGCCGACCTGTCAACACTGCTTCGTGTCGCTCTCCACCAAAAGTAATCTGATTCGCCACTACAAGGTAATTCATCAAATGAAGGTGAAACTGTGCAAAGTTTGCAATTTAATCTGTGATAATAACGTGGCTTTAAAATCACATATATTACAAAATCACAAGACTTGTATTTCTGTAAAATGAATGTTGTTGGACATTTTAAAAGACACGCCAATTCTTGTATCAAATGTCCATATACAATGATTAAATTTGTTGGTGAATCGATTAGAGCTAACCTTAAAAATACTCTTCAGTCTTGTCCTCTGCCAATAAAATGGACTTTAGTAAGGAGAATCAAATTTATAAAATATTCAATGGATCAAAATGGACAATTAGTCAATGAAAAAGAATGTATTGCAGATTTTAGAAGCCTTACTACCTTAACTATTGAGAAGAGAGATTTAAAGCCTCAAATTGAAAATGCACTTTTAAAGATTGATGCATCCATACACAAATATCAAGCCCAAGGCAGTGGATGGATTTATGACCATACTAAATATTTGCAGCTGCAATTTTTACAAGTATAAGCCCCTAACTCCAAAGTCATATATCCCTACACCAAAAAGTATTAAATTGACAAAAGCAGTTTTAAATATAAAAAATGCTGATAATAAATAAATGTTTCCTTTGGTCAATTTTAGCAGCATTACATCCAATGAATTGTATAAATGAACATGCTAATAGAGTATCCAATTATGTACCCTATGAATGTCAGTTAAATATGACAAATATAAAATATCCCGTAAAAATATCTGATATAGATAAATTTGAAAGACAAAATAATATAAGTGTTAATGTATTTGGAGTTGAAGACCAGAAATGTATATATCCATTATTAACAACCAAACTAAACAGTAATACTCATACAGATTTATTATTATTACAAGAAGGTTGTAAATCACATTACTGTTTAATTCGTGATTTTAATAGGTTAATGCTGCGGTCTACAAAAGATAACAATAAGAAGTATTTTTGCAAGTTGTGTTTACAACATTTTTATACTAATGATATATTAGAACGTCACGCAACATATTGTAAAAACTTTGATGCCCAACGAGTGGAAATGTCTAAACAAGATACATTACAATTTAAAAATTATAAATATCAACTTAAAGACCTATTTGTGATTTATGCAGATTTTGAATGTTTTGTAAACTCAAACAAGCGTACTACATCTGGATATGCATTTGTTGTAGTGAGAGATTCTAAGATTATTTCATCTGAAGAGTTATATAGTGGTGCAAATGTTATGGACGTGTTTTTCAAAAGGTTATTTGAGACTTATGACTTCATTAAAAGTCAAATGTCGATATATATTCCCCTTGTAATGACTCCAGAGCAAGAGGTATCTTTCCAAAACTCAACACACTGTCACTTGCGAAAAGCCCTTATATTTTGATAGGGTACGTGATCACTGTCATTCATCTGGCCGATACCGTGGAACCTTGAATAATATAATACAACTACAACCCCAAACTACTATCTATTGGTCCTTAGACAAAAACAATAGACCACGCATAGACGTAACCATAGCCACAGCGTTCAACAACACTACAATTAATTTGTTCGCAGAGGATACGCGTCCGGTAACCGGACGTGGATTAGGCGTCCGGCAGTTACTGGCATAACCTAACCTAACCAACCAAACTTGCTGATAATTAAAAAATCAAATGAAGGTTCAATTCTCTTCATAACATAAAATTATAAATGCCAAAAATTCTAACAAAAGATGTACAGTTAAGAAGAAATTACATTCAAAGCAAAATCTGTGACAAAAAGTTAAAGAAACCGATGGGTTTCGAACCAGGGACCTCTAGGATATCAGCCGAGAGCCGAGCACTCTATCCAGTCCACTACACCACGAACAACGCTGACCGAACATCGTCGTATCGTTGTGGTAATGGCGTTCCGGGACCCCACAACGGCCACAACCCGGTGACGTCACTACCGGACGCCTAATCCACGACTGGTTACCGGACGCGTATCCTCTGTGTAATTCGCAATTGACTACTTTTAAGAGTGATCCTGTCCTGTCGTCTGTCCTGTAATACTGTAGCCTATTACATATGGGTATAATTAGAGACTCGTGATAGTAGGAATGTTTTATCTCAATTCAACAGGTCCTCTCCTCCCAACATAAGCCTAACCTCAGCCTCAGACAGCGGAGTAAGGTAGGCTACTAAGACGTTGGTTAATCAGTCTTCTTATAGTTGGTTAATTATATTATTATTTTATTCTATAGGCCTAGGCCTACTCGCAATTTCGACTGATCTGTCTAGATTACCGGGCAGGTAAGTTAATTATTTACTATAACTTAACTAGCCTAGGCCTAAGTTAGGTGCCTCCATCCGAATTTGTACCGTAAGTTATTTAACTTTGTCGGCTTTTATTTCCTGAAGGCTGCACTTTACTTTACACTGAGCTAAAATAGGTCCTACACAAACAACCGAATGAAAATATTAGTCTAGGCATATTAGGAAAGTTTAGGTACAGTCCTAATCATCACTTTTCTTTATGTTTTTTGGGTCGCTGAACACGAATATGAGGTTTGCTGACAGATATTTTGCCCGGAACATTGTTTATTTTGTTAAAAACCTTAAAATTTGGCCACTTTTTTTAGGTTTTTGGGGTAAATCTTTGTTATTATGGGTTTTTGAGAAGACCCTGCTTTGTAAAATTAAAGAAGACAAAATCTACTACAAGTTTCCTATGTAATGGTATTTGTTTACTTTAGGGGCTTCTAACGAATTTAGAAAAAAATGTTTTTTTTCTCATTATTTGGCCTATTTTGAACACTTTTTACATTTGACACTTTTGGGGCAAACGCCTATTTCACCCTGAAAATCGCGTTTGAAAATTGCGAAAATTTTTCAGCAATTGCCATTTTTACTTAGAAAATCTGGGTTTTCCCCCCTTGCCTTTCTTTAAATATTAAATGTGTTTTTATTATTTTAGTAATAAGCAGATGTATATTTAAACTAACCTAACTTAACCTAACCTTGGTTTAACTAAAAATCCGCTATTTTCGGCATATTGCTAACCTAAGCATTGGTTAGGTAGGGTCGGGTTAGGTTAGGTAGGATTGGGTTAGGTTAAGTTAAGTTAGGTTAGGTTACATTAAATATAGTTATAGGTTAGTTTACGTAAGGTTAAGTTAGGTTAGGTTAGGTTAGATTTAAAATATTCAGGTGATTTTAGGTTAATTGAACTTAATAACTAGCCATACCTGACTTAACCTTAACTAACCTAACCTAACCTAACGTAACCTAACCTAACGTAACCTAACCTTGGTTTAACTAAAAATCCGCTATTTTCGGCATAAGTATTGCTAACCTAAGCATTGGTTAGGTAGGGTTGGGTTAGGTTAGGTTAAGTTAGGTTAGGTTAGATTAGATTAGATAAAGTTAGGTTGGATTATATTTAGTTCTGTAGGTCCTTAGTAATAGTAAAAACACATTAAGGGTTAAAAAAACTACGCAAATTTTTAGCATTTTTTGCAATTTTCAAACGCGATTTTCAGGGTTAAATAGGCGTTTGCCCCTAAAGAGCCAAATGTAAAAAGTGTTCAAAATAGGCCAAATAATGAGAAAAAAACATTTTTTTCTAAATTTGGTAGAAGCCCCTAAAGTAAACAAATACCGAACTATTTATTCATGATAATGAACTGAAACACACATAATAAATCTATGCCAAGATGTATGACTGACTGCTGGAACATTTCCCGTTCCCACAAAACCCCCATTTATTTTCTCAGCACAGGAATTTTGCTGGCCACATGGTTGACTGCTATAGTGATTGAGAAAAAAGGATGAAAGACATTAAAAGAGTTGTAGATAACTTTAACTTTGGTATCGTCAAATTCAGACGAGCAGACTGTGTCCAGGCACTTGCCATAATAAATAACGCGATGAAAGTAGAGAATTCTTGCCCGTAAACCCCAACACATTGTTTTCGTATCAGCATCGCTAAGAATTCTGATGAAGAGAACTAAAACACTTCTTGTCCTACAAACTGGGTCCAAACTCTTTCTCGTTGTTTGATAATAAGGATTTGCACAAGGAACCAAATCAAATCTTTATAGGCCTAAAGCCCCTGTCCCAATTGAAAACGAGCACTTCCATGGTCAAGTGCAGTATGTAATTGATGGTGGGTTCCTACTACACAATAGTTATGGCCAGAGCATCAACCTCTCAAAAACCACCACCATCAAAAACCAAACATCAACCAAGAAAAACTTAATCGACAACATACTCACCACTCCTTTCCTTGCTATAAAGAAGAAAACTGTAGGCAGCTGAGAATATTCAAAGATAAACTTGGTCCTCAGTTTCTTACCCTTGAGGAAGCTTTAGGAGCAAATAAGGATATGGTAGAAGATGCTTTTTCTCTCCTCTTGGGCCCACCAAAAAAAGGATGGATGGAATGCCAACCTTCAACCTGAAAAGAGTGAATTGCATGATCCTACCAACCAACCTATTGCTCTATTCATGAGGTTATTAACATAAAAAAAATGTCACCATTTTCCCCAATTTAATGTTAAAAGACGGGTATTTCTTTCAGGTTGAGGCTTGTGGTCAGGGGCACTAGTTTGTTTATTTTTAAGTGTGTTTCAGTTTATTATCATGAATAAATAGTTGAAATTATCGTAAAATGAGCTGTGTCCATGGAAACCCAATGTAAAAACGGCAGCATTTAGCAATGTTTTAAATTTTGTGCTCTAGTGGCGAAACGGTTCGTCGTAGAAACAAACATTGTATAGGAGACTTGTAGTAAATTTTGTCATCTTTAATTTTACAAAGCAGGGTTTTGTCCAAAACCCATAATAACCAAACCGAGATTAGACCGAAAAACCTAAAAAAGTGCCAAAATTTTAAGGTTTTTCACAAAATAAACAATGTTCCGGGCAAAATATCTGTCAGCAAACCTCATATTCCTGTTCAGCGACCCAAAAAACATAAAGAAAAGTAATGATTAGGACTGTACCTAAACTTTCCGCTAACTGCCGCTTATATCCCTAATATGCCTAGCCTATATTGATTATTTGATTGTTTCATTCGATATATCGTTTGGTTAGTTAGGTTAGGTTAACTAACCAAACGATATATCGAACAATCGATATATCGATCGATATTTTCATTCGAATGAGTGTAGGACCTAAAGTAAAGTGCAGCCCTCCTGAATCCAAAAGAATGAATGAATCAGGAAAGAATATGACAATTTTCACAGAAAATTATTAACTTACTGTAAGTTAGTTACCTACCGAAGATAACTTATCGCTGTTTAAATACGGTACACAACTTTTGAATAAACAAGGTCCCAAGGATGACATTTAACTTAGGCATACAATAGGAATGGGTCAAAATCCGTTAATTATTTATTTATTGCCATCGGATTTCACCAATTTACAATATTGAATTACATTATTTCATTGTGTTTCACCCACTATTTGTGCACAAACAGTCTGAAAGTTGCATAAATTAATTAGTCCGTTCATTATAACCTAACCTTTAACTTACCTACCTAATCTAACCTCACTTCAAAGGACTTAATATAGTCACGAATCCGCATAAAGTCCGACCTATCTTCCTCACATGCCTTTTCTGACATTAAATGTGATTTAAACATTAAAAGGTTGGGTTGGGTTAGATTAGATTAGATTATGTAATATAATTTATTAGTTGCTGATACATTAAATTATGCACTGTCGCACGTTTTCACTTTTAGACACAATGGGATTAGGCTATGTACTATGGGATTATGCACTATGGCACGTTCATTAACAGACGTTGAGGCATTAGTCAATGGTTGAGGATTATAATGAGGACGATATGATCATATCGGCAGTGGCCTAGCTTCTATTACTGATATTTTACGTGAATGAATTCTATTTTGTTTTATAATTTATGTTCATGTGATTAATAGTTTATGTACCGTAGTTGATTTATTGTATTTTCTAAACAGCATCAAAGTCCATTTTCTTTTAAAAATCTATTTATTGCATATTGTAACTCTGATTTTGCTCTCATGGCGTCGTGTGTGGTTTTGTCTGTTTAGTATCGAATGTAAACAACTTACACCTGTTTCCACTCCACAAACCTTCCACCCCTTTTAGTGTTAGTCGCCACTAGAACTTGGACTCGTCCATACCACAAATATGTTAATAAATCAACAAAACTTAAGCTTAATAGGCCTATTCATTATTGAACTGTACGGCCACTTAGGAATCTCTCCGACCAAAACTTATTGCATTTTTGGATTCAGCGTTAACAATACTGTAAGTTGACATATCAAAATTACCGGTACTTCATATCCCAGTGTAACTAGGGTAAATATTTTTTACAGGATCTGGAATATTTTTCCTTTGTGAATATAAGTACCAAAACTTGGAAGGATATAACTTAATGGTATTTTACATGTGTTTTCATTAATACTTATTCCACGTTTCTGATTTTAGCCTCCTTACTCTAATCCCGGTCGACCCCAACCCTAATTCCGTTTTTTACTGCCTAATTCGGGTTGATTGGTATTTACACCATAAAGTAATGATTTAACTTATTTGATTTAAAAAATTTAATAATCAAAGCAAAAAATGGTAAATAATGACATGAAATTAGTAAATAAGCACAAACTGATTTAGCAGACAAATCAAATGAAATCAAAACTTTATTTCCCAATAGACAATACAATTGCATGTGGAATGGTCAATGAAAGGTATTATGTTAGTTAAACATTTGTCAAGGAAGAGTACAATGGGTTTAGAGTACAAGGTCAAAACAAGAGATACAAAGAGAATATAAAATGCATGCAGATGAGGATAACTACAAGAGAAAAAAGTACAAACATTACTCAATATGTAATGGTCTAAGTTAGGAAGTTCTAAAAAATTGTTTAGTTTGTAGAACGGGTCCTTTACTAGCCACATATGAATTTTAGCTTTAAAAACTTTGTAAGGAAGTGATAGCAATTTGTTGGGCAATTTATTTAGACATTACTGTCCAAATAAATTCCATAAGAGGAAAACTGTCCATATTCTGGGTGTTTACCGTCCGCCGAGAGAGGACAAGGAATCACTGACCTTAGCTCTTCAAACACTTTCAAACATTTTGGACCAGTGGATCTCTCCTAATATTTTGATTGTAATCATGGGAGATTTCAATGTAGACTGCATGGAACCATCCTTAAAGAAAACTGCACTTGAAGATATTCTATCAACCTTCAATGTCCTCAGACTACAGCTTCCACCAACAAGGACTACTAGCATCTCGTCCACCTCCATAGACATGTGCTGCGTCTCTAACCATCTCAAGAATAATGTCAATGTCGGGGTTATACACACTGGTATATCGGACCACAGTGGCCAA